GTGAGTGTGTGTGTGTGTGTGTGTGTGATTGAGCCAAACAAGCATTAATGTTGAGTCTCTTCATGTGCTTTCTGTGTGTTTTATTTCTTTCTGATGAGTGTGATGAATGTGACTACTGCGTTTGTTTGTTTGTGTGTGTTTCAGACGATCACTCGCGTGTGCGGCTGCAGCCTCTGGAGGGAGAGCAGAGCTCCGACTACATTAATGCAAATTATGTAGATGTAAGTACACACACTGTCCAGCGCTCTGGTGAAAGGTCAGCGTGTGTGTGTGTGTGTGTGTCAATAAACATCAGGATCACAGCACCTCTCATTCACGTCTCACCAAACAACAGACCGTTAATCCAGACGCATCGTCAGCAGAGTCAGGATTAGATTCTCACACCGCAGACAATAACACACACATACACACACACACACTCACTCACACTCTTATGCACACACACAGACACTCACACACACACACACACACACACTCACACTCTCACACACACACACACACACACACACACACTCACTCACACACACACACTATTATATTATATTGCATTAAGATTTTTTTGTAGAAATTTAAAATACTGTAATTTGAAAATAGTAAAAAATTACAATAATATGATATTTTTAATGTTAATTTAAAATATATAATATTTTAATGTTTTAACTGGCTTTTAGTATTAACAATTATCAATGAATTGTTTAATAATAATTTAGCCATTTTAATAATATACTATTAATATTTTTTTATTTTAATATTAAATAATTTAAATACATTTTCAATTAAATGTTTAATAATGTATCAATTATAATAATATACTATTAATGTTTTTATTTTATTTATATACATTTACAATAATAAAAAATACAACACTATTATTTTATTTTTAATGGTTATTGTAAGTATTTAAATAATATTTTAATAATCATTAACACAGGTCTCACCCTACTTTCTATTCACACTGTAGTTTTCAGATATATTATATTTTATATTATATTATATTATTATATTATATTATATTATATTTATTATATTATATTATATTGGCCGTCTATTCCATCCCAGAATTCCCTGATTCTTGGCTCAGGTCATGTGGTTATTGAGTTAAGCGTGAGGTGTTTCTCTAGTGATTTACTGACTAAAATAACTCTGCTGATGTTGACCGAGTAAATGTTGTGGTCGGCTCTGATCCGCCGCTGCTGTCCATAACACACACACCAGCACTAGAGCATGCTGGGAGCAGGTCATGTGATCCATTCAGCTCCAGATTCAGTCATGATCTCACTGTTTAAAGGACTAGTTAACCCAAAATGTAACATTCTGTCATCATTTACTGAATTTTGTATCATGATCATTTGTTACAGTAAACAGTTTTATCGTGATATTAAATTGCATAACAGAGTTGGATTTTTTTTTTAAAGTGTATAAAAATACAATAACTTTTTACAAATAACAAAAATAACCTTGAACGTTCAAATACAATAAAACAATATAAATATATAACACTATAACATGTATAACAACTATAAAGGGCGTGAAATAAATAATTTATATTAATATTTGGTTTTATCATGGTTTTATTATATTTTTTATATATTTATATATATATTTGTTGTATTTTATATTATATTTTTTAAATGTTAATTAAAAAAAGTATATTTTAATTTTAAAAATGTTAATATTATTTAATTTTAATTATGTTAATAACATTTTAATATTAATTATTTAATATAATTACTTTTATTATTTATTATTATATATAATATTTTTATTTTTTATATTCTTAATAATTAATTAATATTAAATAATTACATTTAAATAATACATTTATGTATGTATTGTAGTAATATTATTACTATTAATAATTATTAATATTAATATTTATTATGTAAACAATCAGAATTGTAAAATGGAATAAAAAAGAGCAGCTGCTAAATGTCTTGCCTCACAGAAATGAAACTGAACCGGTTTGGAGCAAAGCTGCGAGTAAATGATGACAGAATGATGATTTTGTGCGTGAACTTGCCCTTTAATGAGGTTTACTGGTGTGTCTGAGTTACTCTGGTAAAGTTAATGAAGCGGATCAGTAAAGAAGCAGAAGGCGGTTAATAATAATCATTTGGTTTGGAGATGAATTCTCAGGGCAGATCATTAAAGTGTTTCTGTGTGGTTTTAACATTCAGCAGAGAAACCCTGACCCTGAAATCCATCAGCACTGATAAAGACTTCTGCCTCTTCTCAACACGACTCGAGTTCATCTTCACAATCACACACTCCAGACGCACTGAATCTTTCATGAGTCCAGGCAGGGCTTCGTTAGTTACTCCTAATCAACTTTAGCCAGAACTCAGCTCAATGTGACCAGCTTGCTTTATAGAGATGTGAATTATGCATAAATAGAGTAAACAATACTTTAGCTTTTGAGTTTTAGGTTAGAGTTAGTATGTAACAATTGTAACAAGATTTTTTTTTTTTTTACCTTTATTTAACCAGGAAATTAAAAACCCTTGAGATTTAAAATCTCATTTACAAGAGGGTCCTGGCCAAGATAGGCAGCACATTTAGTTACACATAAAACAAAATACATTCGTTTACATACATGGAAACATACACAAATCACTCAAAACATTTACAATCAGGTGACTCTACAATTAGATCCTTTAAAATACATTTAAAATCATTTAGTGATACCAACTCTTTTAAGCATAACTTATCTTGTAGTCGATTCCAACCAAATGGAGCAGCATAACTAAATGCCCGTTTGCCCATGTTAGTACGAACTTTAGGGATGCTTAAAAGATAATAGTCTTGTGAGCGAAGACCATAATTCTTTACACCTTTTTGTAAAATATTCTGCTGTAAATACGAAGGAAGTAAACCTAAAATGATTTTATATATAAATAAGTACCAATGCTTAAGTCTACGGGATGACAACGCCGGCCATCCAACCCGAGAGTACAATAAACAATGATGAGTAAGGGCTTTTGAATTTGTGATGAACCTTAATGCTCCATGATAAACTGAATCCAACGCCTGTAAACAATGCTTAGGTGCCTGCATGTATATGATATCACAATAATCCAACACTGACAAAAATGTAGCTGCTACCAATCTCTTCCTTGCTGCAAAAGAAAGACAATAATTGACTCTAAAAAAAAGGCCCAGTTTCGACTTTAATTTTCTCACAAGGTACTGAATATGAGGCCCAAAAGAAAGAGAATCATCAATTAAAAATCCCAAGTATTTATACTTAGATACTACTTCAATCTCCAAACCTTGAAGAGTAGTGATTGAGCATGAGTTTGAAAGTGCAGACTTTCTTTT